GGGGCCCTGCGAGCCCCTCTCGTAGGGAGAGGCCGCCGGGTTCGCGGTAAATCCGGGCTGCGGGTCCTCCCGGGGGTGGATACTGTAACAGGGTAACTTAACCTGTGCAAACAGCAGTCTCCCCTTCCACCCCCTTTATTTCCCACAGCGACTTCCCTTCTGTGGTACTGCATGTGTCCTGTTCGCAGAGGAAGCTTATTGAAGTGACATTTTAAAAGTAATTGGTATTATCAGGCCTTATTGGCTGCTTGGGAGATAGCCAAGTTTCCCAAGTACTTATTGCAGGAAAAAAAACAAAAATAAATAGAAATGAGCCAAAGCAGAGGGAATCCTGCAGCTGGGCCCACAGCCGAAGCAGCCTGTGGGAGCTGCGCGCAGGATGGAGAGGAGGCCGTCGTGTTTCCAGGAGTGCTGGTTTGGGTGAAAACCAAGGTGTCCAAGGCACCTTCCAAGCCAGGCACGTGTCCTGGACCATTGGAGCTGCAGGAAGAGTGAGACAAGCTCTTCATAGAAACAGAAACATACTTTTTATTGGATATGGTTATCCCAGATTGTTGGCGGAAGCAGGGAGAAGGCTACAGAGTGTGTATAATAATCTGATTTCTTCATAATCACAATTAGGAAAAACGTGGAAGTCTTTGACTGTGAAGCACCAAGCAGCAAGCTTCCTCAAATGCGTATCCCGTTTGTGCATTAGTGCAAAACTTCAGATTATGGCTGTAGTTTTCCTGGTTGCTCTGCCTGGGATTCAGCTGGTCCTAGGAGATCAGAGACCCTGTTGTGTAATTAATATAGTAAGTTAACTGATTTTCCTGGTTGCTCTGCCTGGGATTCAGCTGGTCCTAGGAGATCAGAGACCCTGTTGTGCAATTAATATACTCAGTTAACTGGTTTCAGTAACAACCGACCGAACTTGGTGGTAGGCTTGCAAAGCTAATGTGGTTGGGTATAAACAATCTTTTGTGGTTTTTGTTAAAGCAGATTTTATAGAAAAAGTTAGGAAACATACACAAGCATTCAAAATAATATATGAATGCTTTTGGCACTTTTTTATAATTTAATTGGAGCTATATGGTAGCTCATATATTGCATAAAAATCATAAAACATTTTAAAACTAAGATGAACAAATTGGTATTCATACAGAAACAAATCAATTCAGGCTGTGTAAGCATCAGCAACTCTCCAGCAACATTTTTTCCTCTGTTAAATATCTCTCTTAAAAGTAGTTTAAAGCTGTTTCATTAAAAATATGTTTCCCTTGTGGTTATGGCTTTTGTCTCTTGCCTCTTATGATGAGAGCAGGCTGGAGGACAAGCTCATGAGTTGGTGGTATTATAGGGATTTATGATATGGAGGAAATTCTCTTTAAAATGCCTTCTTTTCCATTATATTGGAAATCCAGTAATGATTATAACAGAAATTTCTTTCTTCTGTGATTTGAAAGGGAGGGAAACAATTGAAATACTTAATATCAGACTTAAGTTCTTTTCCCTCTTTTCTTCATTCCTTCAATTCATGAAGAGAATTAGGGTGGAACATGATCTATGGCAATAAGAATTTTATTTTACAGACTAGGGGTTAACTGAAGGTTACAGAAAATTAATTTTCTTCTTTTTACTGTTCTGCCCAAGGGAACGTTGTCAACATAATTTTTTTTCTTATTTTTTTCTAGGGTTCTCTTTTTTTTCTACACCTGATTTTTAAGGTTAGGGCAAATAAAAATATTACTACAGGGAAGAAAGACTTTTCCATTGTAGTGTTTAGCTGGTGCAGTTTGGTTCAGTGGTGTATTCTGCTTCCTTCCTGTCGGTAGTTGTGTTTCTTTGTTGTGTGAACACCCCAGTCAAAGTAACTAGAACTAGGAATGCCTGACTGTAAACCTGGGAACTCTGTCCATCACGGGCAATACTGATTATTATTACAGGCCACCTTGAGAAAAAAATACTAAGTTTTGCATTGCTAGCACTTTTCCTAAAGTGTCTTATTTGAGAGAGATTTAATGCATCTGCTTTTTGTTATTAGTGTGGCTTCTAAAGCCTACTAAAGCCCACAAACATCATTTGCTATATATGCTTCTGGATTTGCATCTGACTCTAAAACAGGCTCACAACAGTTAGGAAAACTCAAAGCATTTGCTAGTTATCAACTGCTGTGCTTAGTAGGGATTAAAAAAAAAACTTAAATCTGATTCCCATTTTTCTTAATGCTAAGAGAAGCAATTCATAATAGTAACACTTGGTTTGTTTTTGCTGTTTTAAGCTTATGCTCAAAAGAAATACGAGCACATGTAAAGAATGGGAAATTCAATGAGAATGAATAAATGTTTCTGCTTCAACACCCTGCTTCTCAATTCCTGAGGCTTAATTTGTAATTGCTGGTTTTAAGTTACCAATCTCTCAGAAATTGCACGAAATACCGCTCAGTTTTTCCTAGGTGACCAAGTGTTTTTAATAGTTGCAGTTAGATAGGATTTTAGAGTTTATAATCATGCTGTTGGGACTGTTTTTAACTTACTGGCACACCCCAGTGGCCAAGCAAAGATCTGTCACTCCAGATTGGCAGCAGGTTACCTGCAGCAAAGCTGCCACAGCAAAGAGCATTTATGCATTGGATATAGTGGCCAAAAAGCAGAAGCTTACTGGCTAAGCAAGCAATCTTTTGCCAAGCACTAAAGCACAATCTCTTAATGTGGTTGATGTTTAGCAAAGAGGTCTGGAAATTGGACAATCTGGATTCTATTTGCAGCACTGCCACAGACTTGTTCCATGCCTTTAGCTAAATAACTTGAGATCTGGATTTGAGAGGTGCATATTTTCCCTCTAAAGCTCTGAGAGTTCGGACTGCATGTCCTTCTCTCTAGGAGATTGCCTTAATTTAAACTGGGCTTAAAAATGGTCGTATTATTTTTGTAAAGTTTAACTTACTGCTATTGTACCGTGAATACTAAGCAGCCGCATGCCCAGTTTACATTGACCTGTACATAAAATATGTTTTTCGTTTGTCCTTTTATAGAAAGCGTGACTATGAAGGCTTTCTGTGTTCTCTGCTCATGCCTGCAGAATCCCGAACTTCTGCTTTTGCCCTGAGAGCTTTCAATGTGGAACTGGCTCAGGCAGGTATTAAAATACATTTCCAGAATTTACAAATGTAAAATAATGATTTCAGGATTATGAATTATATTAGTATGTGGTAGTTTGCTGAGGTTAACATATCATACTACAAAGGGCAATGAATAAATAATCTACTGCAAACCTCTGCTTTTGAATGGCCCTTGGGGTGTAGATAGCCTCCTACAGTTTATTTTGTGTATGCATTTAACTCTTCTCCTTTATGTTGTGCATTTCAAAATGCATAAATAGTAAATGATAACAAAGAGGCTGTTGTCACTGACACTGTTATGTGATTGCCTCAGTGTCCTGGCTCCAAATGCGAGGGCTGAATCTGATAAGTGCAGCTTAATCCTATCTGTAGAAGGTCAGTCAAAAACTTGGGTGATATAATTAGTCCCAGGTCTTTGCTGGCAGGAGGTAGGCAAAAGAAAAGCTGCCAAGAGGGAGGTCAGTAGATAGAGATGTGACGCAGCAGTCTCCTTTTTGCTAGGTGGTCAGAGATTGCTACTGTAACCACAAAAGTTGGTAAAATTCACTAGAAAAGAGCAATCTGAAAGATGTGCAGAGCCAGCAACACTTTCAACACTCTTCTTGGCAGTGCTTCCAGCTTCCTAGTGCTGCCCTCCCTTGCCACTCTTACCCTGACTTCTTATCCTTCTGGAAAGAAGGATGAGGTGAGAGTCACCTTCAGGCCTCAGGTTCTGCTGGAGATTTCAACTGCCTTCCCCTTCTCTCCTCTCCCCCTCATAGTGCCTGAGTACTGCATGAAGAATAAATGTAAATTCCAGACTGAGCACATTCTTTATCGTGTCTGGTTGTGTCTTGTGTCAGTCTTTTCAGTGTAGATAGACTAAGTGTCTTAAGACGACTGTAATTTCACTCCATATATATCCCTTTCAGATTAAAGACTCCATAACTCAAAAGGGTACCGGTTTGATGCGGATGCAGTTCTGGAGAGATGCTGTGGAAAATATATACTGTGATAAGCCACCACATCAGCCCGTTGCTATAGAATTATGGAAGGTAAAATATGTTTTTGTTGTCCTAAAATTCACTTGGCTAAAATATAGCTATGAGAAGTAACATCATTATTTTGTATATGCTATATTGCACTGTTAGCTACATTATTTGGTATAAAAATGATGATGTCAAGGGTAGTGTTTAACATTGTGAATAACCTAAAATTGAAGAGCAAAGTTGGAGAAAGAGGATATTTAGAGAGGGCCTGCTTGGAGGGTCAGACTTCTGTGAACAAAGTGCTTTTCTCTTGTCTCCTCAGGTGAAGGGCAGAGTAAGTTCTGGTAAGCTGTAAGTCGATAGCAAGTGAAGTGTGCAAATAAATTGTGCTGATCCTGTTCTAGTGCTAAGAGGATTAAGCACTGGAAGAAGAACAGGATACTAAGCATGGGAGATGACCTAGCAAATAGTGTGAGGGAAAGCCCAAGACTTTCATACCTAATTATAGGAGATAATAGGGGAATCTTATCACTGTCTTTTTCCTTGCTGAAGAGTTACTTGGTGACTTTTATTTATATATTACATGTTTTGCACAGTCTAGATCCCCTTGTGTGGTCTGAGTAGCAAGGAAGGTGCTTGTGACCTGCAGTTTATTTTTACCAAGGTGTCTCTTTGTGAGTTCAGGCAGGCACTAGAATGTCACAGGTAAAATAGACCTGCATCTCTGTTGCATATGGCTGAAGAAGCAGAGACTTTCATATAATTCGTATATATATATATATATATTTGTTTCAAGTTAGAGCTCCTATTGACCTGTTCAAGGGATGACTGAAGGTCTGAAGTTGGTATAAATGGCTTTCTGCATGGTGCTGATACAGCATAATAGAATAATGTAGGTTGGAAGGGACCTCAGGACACCTTCTAGTGCAGCTCCGCAGAGCTGGGCAGGGCTAACTTCAGGTCACATCCAGTTGAATTTTGAGTACCTTTGATGGAAATTCCATGTGTTGCTAACTTGATGACTTTGGACCACGGACTGCAAGTCTTAGAACCCTCAGAAAGGGCATCTACTTAAGGCCTTGTTCTACAAGACCAGAATTTGCGTTTAAGCTAATGATTTTTGAAGTCCTGGACAAGAAAAACTGCAATCTGCCTAGAGCTAAATAGCTGAATATTGTTAACTTAGATCCTATAGGTAGTTTGGTGTATGGACCTGCTGAAAAACAGGCAGTCAAAACTCCTGCTTTGAATGATCTTTGGCAGTGCTCAGTGTGCCCTCTTCCTGACTTTTCCTTCTTCAAATGAGAGATGAAGTACAAGTGAGCATTTGTTGCTGTCTATCAACACTCATATTTAAATTAAAATGTAAAACAAACAAAATACCTTTTAACTAAGGGAAAATAGAGGCAAAACCAAGAAGTAAAATAAATATCTGTGTCTGTTAGAGTGATTTACTGGAAGAGCAGAGCTGTTCACAGGTGTATGCAACTGAGATAAAATGTGGTCTCAGCCGCAACGAAGTGGCTAGAGGAATTAAAGCTGAATTTGGGGTAAATGTTTTAGCACAAATGTTAGAATGCCACTTTGGTACTTTTGCCTGCTGGTTTCTCCGTGCCTTTGCTTTTTATATCCTTTATCCTTTAATATCCTTATATCCTGTCTTGTTCCTGGACAGCTTGCCCAGGAGGAACAAGACAGTCTTCTCCCTACATGTGTTTATCTCCTTTCCAGGGAGGAACTTGCTTTAGTGCAACTTTACTGTTGGAAGCTTTTGTTTCCAAAGACACTGTCTCATGCAGGTGTCTGACTGAGTAACTTGGATACAAGTTAGTTTTCAATATTGCTGTAAATATTCTTTCCATTGCTTCTTATTTTGCACTGCTTGTGTGTTTATGTATGTGAGGCAGAAATATTTTACTAGCAGACAAGAATCTTGTAACAAGCATCATTCAGGTATAAAACATTCAATATTCAGCTATAAATTACACATCCTTCCAACAAATAAGGTTGCTGGTCATACTCCTTTCTTTCAAAATGAAAAGTGGTTTTTGAAATAGAAGAAAGAATTGATCTTTCTGTGTGGTAAGTTTTGACCTTATATATAATTGGTATGGTGGAAGGCCGATATGAAACAATCCAAAAAGAACCGATTGTGAAATAAGCTCTTGAGAAATAATTAAAAATATGTATTTCCGGGAGCTCTGATAGCTCTGCACACTGCAGAACACTGAAGTGAACAAACACCACAGTCTGTCCTGGTGACCTGTGCTCTCAAGATGTGGTTTTATTTCTACATGGCAGCAAATACCCTGAGAATGACCGATTTGAGGAGTGTAGCTTCACAGATGATCAGTAATATCATTGTAATTCTTAAAAAGAAGGATTTGGAAAGACGTAAATACCACAGAGTTGTTAAGAGAGTTAACATGTCTTCTGCACAGCGTGTTGTATGAGTACTCCGTTCTCACTGTTGAGTTTGTATGAAGAACAATTTCAGTTTTCCAAAGGAAATACTAATTTGCCATACTAAATATGTTCCAAATATTTTTGATATTCCAGAGTACTCAAATTTGAATTCCTGGACTTTTCTGCACTAGTTCATGTGTGAAGTATGTAAATAGCTTGTTGCTTTAGTATTTCCAGAATTAGTAATAGCTGGATTCTCGGTGATTTTTATATGAATTTAGGTGGCAACTGTACAATACCTGTTCTTATTTATCTGTCAAATCTGGACATATGAAAAGTGAGGCCTAAACTTCTGTTCACTTCTGTGGATGACGGCAAACTTAAAAAAAAAATCAAAAACGAGGAGCTCTGAACAAAGGTGGATCAAAATAGATAAAATGTGTACTTTAGGTAGACTCTGTTTTGTGCTTAATTCTTTTGTGCTTAATCCCCCCCTTCTGGGGGATTTTCTGTGAAGGACTGTGTTTACAAAACAATGCTTAAGCTGAGCAAGGGAGAAGGAAAGCTGACATCTGTATTTCTAACATTAGATTTTGCCTTTTCACACACTGACTAGTTGCTCAAGCAGAATTTGTTGAGTCAACAAGATCCATTCTCGCAAACTTGAAAAAAAATGTACGAATATAATGAATATAAAGAAGTAGAATTGTAAAGAAACGAGTTATAAAAACGAAGACTTTGAAAAGTCTTCTTAAGTTTTGTTGTGAATATTCAAATTTGTGTTTGTACCCTTGCTGATAGTCTGGTCTGCAGAATTCAAGGTGCCTTTGAGTGAGAGTTGGAAGGATTGATGATAAATTGATTGAATGAAGTGGTGCAGGAAGGAAGTCAAAGATGAGTCAAAAGCTGAGTATGGGATACTAAGGATAACTTCTTAAAACAAAATCATGCATTATATTGTTAGAGTGTTGTTTTTACAGTGTATATTGTTACAATTTACAGACATTCTCTTGAAATTTTACATGGAGATTCTTTCTTTTTATTGCTTGCTCTGGAATAAAATCTTTGCTTTTTGGAAGGCAAACATAGTGATTTGCAAATATTTTGTGGGAAAGAATGACTCCATGACAGAATGAATCACTTTCAAAATATTTTGAAAGAAATGTGTTTGTTTAGATGTTTCGATGCTCAAGATTTCAACTTGTCTGCAACACTTGTAATATAAAAATGTTTTCGAATTCAAAGATTTTCTTCTGACGCGCCACTTTGATTTAACCCAGTGAATGCAATTCATGTAAGAAAAGGATTATCTAAAATATATTTAAGCCTTCAGAATGCAGGACTGCTGCCACTTTCTAAGCGGTAACATGGGTGTTTTAATTTTCAGGCTGTCAAGAGACATAATCTAACTAAAATGTGGATCATGAAGATTATTGATGAAAGAGTAAGTGTCGGATCGGCCACCAAAGTAGGGGTTTTCTTTTTGTCATAGCTGAGTTTTCCCCTTAATTTGATCTGTGTGTGTGTGTGTGTGTAGAACTATAGGTTAAGGAATACATTTTTCTATGTAAGAGTGATACTGTTATATTTCCCTTTAATTCTTCCCGAGTGCTCTAATGCATGATTTGTGCTCCTTTTGGCCAAAATAACAAATAAAAAGCTTTTGTTTATTTTTGCTTTAAAAAGGATGTAGCTTGTCAGTCTGCATCTTCCTTGTTCCCTGCTCTGGTAGCCAGTACCTCTCGAGGAAATCCATTTTAAGTTGTAGTTGTACTTAGACAACTTTCTGTGCATGTGTGAGGGAAGTTGCATCCTATGAAATTAAACAGGCCTCCAAATGCAACTGTTTTTCAATAAAGAATTTTGAAAAAAATGCATCTTATTAGAAATAGAAGTTAAGATATGCAAATCATATGTACTGTCATATTAAAAACATGCCAAATGCATATACATATAATCTCTTTTTGCCATTCCAGTCCTGTTCCATCAATTTACATCATTTTCTTTTTCCTCATATTTTTCTATTACCATGTTAATTTTACACCTAAATATTCTTCTGTTAAGATGAGTTGTGAGTATAAAAATCTGTAAAATGAAATGCTCTGGCTGGACCTTTCCACCACATGCTGCTGCTGCTGCCTATTGTGGCTGGGAAGTTCTTACTAAGCAGCCTTGTGAGCCAGGGCATTGAAATGATGTGGATTTTACAGTAATTGTTCCTTGGAGGAAAAGTGAGAGGAAGAATTTCCCTTCTGCAGTTATGCTGCTACCAGCCACAACAGGAGGGCAGGAGTGAGCACAGGAGCTTCCTAGCCAGCTTTCCTGCTACAACTAGCAGCTCATGAAGCTACGTCTTGAGAAAATTGGGGGTCAATTGCTTGTACGTCATTGCTATGAACGATTGGAGGTGGTTTCTTTTTTAAAAATATCTTAAGACTGCTGTATTTTAACCACAAAACCCACTAGGACGGGAAGAATGATAGAACGTGTTAGATTTTGGGAGGTATTTGCATATGACTTCAATGTCCATATGTGTGTTTGATAAATAATTTTAGTGCATGTTTTGAAAATGCATTCCTGTTTATCTAAGTTTCTCTCTGCTTCAGCTGCTAAGCAGGTATCAGCATTGGCAACCCACTAGTGTAAGAATGCCATACAGTGCTTTGTTTTGACTTTGTCTATTTATTTTCCTGAAGAATTCCAACTTCTTGTTATTGCACCAAGTTAAAATAGATGCATCAACCGGACTCGCTTCCAGTTGCATGCAGTACTTTGGTTGTACTAGGCACGTTAGCTAAGCTTTAATGACTGTTTTTATCTGTTTATATTCTTTCTGTCTTACCTTACTTTTGATCTATTTTAATCAGCTCAGCCTACCCCATTGTTATAAATTTGAACAAATAACAGTTGTACTTGCCTTTTACTAGAATCTTTTATTGCAGCTCTATGTTCAAATTGCAGGAGAAAAATTTGGATGATAGACCATACAGTAACATCCAGGAACTTGAAAAATATGCTGAGAACACTCAGAGTGCTCTCTTGTACCTCACCTTGGAGATGCTTGGTAGGTGGCTTCCCCTTTTTTAATTTTGCTGGTGACTCACTCATTAGTACTGCTATGATGTTTATTCCTGCAAGAATTTAAAAATAAAGCATTCTTATTCCGCTGAAGTTTGCTTTCAACAGAAGTTGTCTTGGGTAATATTCAAATATCTTCTGAAGATTCAACCAGAAATCTGGATTTTTTTTGCAGCTGTGCGAGAAGCCTGTACTTTGGTGGAAAGTTCATGGAAGGATGATTTTCTGCTACTCTGCTCTTTGTCTCTTCGTGTTCTGCTTTCTCTTTTGCTCCTGTTACATAGTTCTTCGGTGTCTTTTCTGAGTGTCCCCCTCAGCAGGGCACAAAGCAGTGTAGCTGCTCTGCAGCTCTCCTTTTGTGCTGCAGTGGTGCTCATTTGTTACCTTGCAACAGTTGGTTTCTCAGCCTATGAACTTGCCTGTGGTGGTGATGCAAATTTGGGTGTGAAACCTCTCCTCTTCCTAAAAGTAGCTTAACTATCAAGAATCCAGTAGTAAGAAGGCAACAAAGATGATAGGATCTTTGTGGTGTAGAATTAGTATGCAAAGTGAGTCTAATATATCACTCCAGGGAAAGATCTCTTCGTTTACGGTGAAGACAGGACAACTTTTTTGGTGAGTGTTGCATCATGGAAATATTCCATGTGTTAGTTCAGGAGAAAAAGAAGAGTGGGAATTAATACTAAGTAGTACTAGTAGTATTTAATTGTGGATTACTGTCGTGTTAGGGTTTTCCTCTTGTTTGTTGAGTAGCCTCATGGAGGCTAATGCTGAGGCTAAAAAATAAGAAGGAACATTGTGTAGAGAGATGTATGTGGAGCACATTCTTCTCAGGGGGAAATGAAGGGAACCTGTTATAACATCTGATATTTGCTCTCTCAGTGGGAATATGGTAAAATGTTTCAAGTGTCGATGACGAGACATTCAGAAAGAAATTTAGGATGGTGAGAAATATCTGTCTTCCATTTTGGGAAGTATCTTCAATTCTGAGAAAGATCAGTTTAGCTTGGGTTATTTCTGATACAAATCACATCAGTTTCTTGAAAAATCTGTGATGCAGACTGCAGATTTTCTAGGCAGTTTATTGTCATGTTTAACTTCCCTTAAATATAAAAGTCTAAATATCTAAACAAAACTCTCCTTCCCTGAATATTAAGCATATAACTTCTGTGTCTTCTTCCACAGATACTGAGAAATTAATTGAACACAGCCGTTTTCTTGATGTTCCCCATCAGTTGTCTTCTCTAGACTATCTGGCTTAATTTCCTCACAGGTCATGTTTGCTAAACCTCTTGTGCTTTTTAGCTGCCTTAGACGCAAACTGGGGAGACATTAGAGTGAACATCTGTCCTAAAAATAGCAGTACAATTCCATTCTCACTGATTCCAGGGTTCTGTCACTTCATAGCCTTAGTACTGTGCTCCCTGATTCGTTGTACGAGTAGAATTACATGACACCCTGGGAGAACAGCCGGAGAGCCTGTATTTCTGAGCCTGTTGTTTCTGGAATTTTAGGTGTGAGGGACATCCACGCAGACCATGCAGCCAGTCACATTGGGAAGGCACAAGGCATAGTTACCTGCCTGAGAGCAACTCCTTACCACAGCACAAGACGGAAGGTCTTTCTTCCCATGGATATTTGTATGTTGGTAAGAGAAAAGATGTCTGGATTTTAGTAGTATAGTGTTTCTAAATGCCTTTCAACACTGGATATGAGATAATACTTTATTAGCTCAGAGACAGAACACTTTTTAGTTGTTCATATAACTGTTTCTGTTGTTCCCCAATGATCTTGCCATTGTCACAGTTTTCATGTTTTGTATCTCTTGGGAAACGAGTGACCTGTGGAAAACTTTAGGTGGGGGCTTGTTTTTTTCCTTTTGTTCTTTGTTTTTTGTTTTTTTACATTAAATCTAGTAGTATTTTATCTATAAAATGTGTAGATGTACATTTATGGAAAAGGGCTTTCTTTTTCCTTTTTGCCATAAGGAAGCCTCATAAGAAATACTGCGTATGAATAAGCTTCTCAAATTTTTCTTCGCTACCTTTAGGCTCTGGCCTTTTACATCCAGCAGCTGTAAGGATATGTTCCTGCGTTGCTATAAGAGAAGCAATTCTGAATATGCCATTTGCTCTTCTACGGTGCTCACTGTCAAAAAAATACAGTGTTCTCTGCAAGCCTGGTGGAATGGGGTGGTGCACACCAGGCCCGTGGTGGTGGCTTCCTGAGCTAGCCTGGCTGCTTCCTTAGCTCTTGTTGACTTTATTCTGCTTGATGTCACTGCTTGGATTATGTTTTTTAAAACCGAACGTCTATGTAAACTGATCTAAATTGCCAAAACTTTAAAATCTGACTCAGTTAATCCAACAGACCACAAACTTCTGGGAACCAGTGCATGCAAAGATGGTCAGTACAAACGGTGCTTTTGAGTTTCTTTCCAAATGACCGACAAGGGGCTATTTCAGCCTCGTTAGCAGTTTCCTTGCTGGGACAGGTGTTTGGGTTTTCTTGCCTTTGCAAAGCTAGAATGGAAACTTGATATTTGTTAAGGGTTTTTCTTTTTGTTTTGGTTTTCCTCCCCATGTCTAGCATGGAGTTTCGCAAGAGGATTTCATAAGATGCAGGCAAGAGAAGAATGTGAGAGATGTAATATATGATACTGCCAGCCAGGCACATGTTCATCTAGAACACGTGAGACTCCTCCTTTTCTCTTTTTTTTCTTTTTTTTTTCTTTTCTTTTTAAATAAAGTAAACTGATGTTATTCCTTACAGGGAATTGTGATGCTGTGTTATTAGAAGGCTTATAGTTTCACGCTTTACTTGAAATATTTTACCTTTAATTACTTTGAGAAAGAGTTTAAAATTCAAAAAGAGCCAGAGAACCTCGAAGTATTTATTCTACAGCAGCTTCTCCATGAATGTATTTACCTGCATGTGCAGCAGGCAGCTTACCTGCAGCCAGATCCAGCTGCATGTGAACGAGTGTTATTGCCAGGAGCAGCTTGGAGGGGACCTGCGTGAGAGCGAGGATGGAACCAGGGCAGGTGCCCCAGGGCGCAGGGGCTCTCCTGTCCCCACGGACACGTGTGTGGGAAGGGGGTCCTGCCCGAGCTGCATCACGAAGGGGCTTTTCCATTGCTGTTTATTCCTTTTCTGGCACATAGCAAAGTGAACTAGGAAAGACTTTGTCTGGAAGACCTGCAGAGTTCTGTTCTTTTTCCTTTATACTTTTATTTTAGCTGTGCTGTGCATTGCTTGTTG